GGGCTCTGGGCAGAATTAGCTAGTTAACCAACCAACCAACTAGACAGCTTCACTTCCTCAACTCTACTTCATGAGTGCAATGTGGGAATGGAATAGTGGCAATGTCCACAATCATAGTTCACACAGTGCTAATTCACACCAATTCATCGCCTACGTAACCAATGAAGTAATTAGTCCTTCCTACTACTCCCTCTTTCCTCCACGCGCACACCCTCAGTGCACTCCAAATTGCAACCAACATTCCCAATATAACCCACAGAAGTGGTAGTTGTGCAGCTACAGCTTGACTACTTCACTACGCTCAGACCAATATTTCAACAATATTTGATTATTCTCGACCAAAATCCGATCGATTTTACAATATTTCAACACTACTAAGTCGGTTGCAGTAATAGTGAAGCATCTGTATTGGTTAATAATGGACTTATTTCATGCCCCTGACCTCCCTCTCCCCACCCCCACCCCCTCAAAGGCCATTCACTCGTATCGCTCCAGTGCACATTAACCAAAATTCGCCTATTCAATTTCCGCATTGTAAATGACCTTAGGATTAAGACTACCACTTACAAATTCTGTTACTAATGAACTGCAAATTAAAAGTGACACAAATATATCACATAGTAATACATTTGCAAGTCTCGTAAACTAGTGTAGATATACTAATTATTATTTGGCCTATGTACCGAAACAAAAAAACCATTAATATATACACCCCTCCCATATCAAAGAAACGAAATATTAAAGAATATCAATTGATCCCAAAAACATAACAACAAAGTAATCTACTAATTAAAGATTTAATTACTAAAAAATCACAAAAATAACAAGGGTGTCTAATAAGAGAAAATAATACTAACATAAATAGTCTATACCTAATAAAACACAATATAAAATAGTGTAAATAATTTCATTTGAATCATAAACGCATGATAATTAACTCCAAATTCATCCAAAGTTACCCCATTACGACTTGCCTCAACAGCTTTCGAGGGAGACGGGCTGTGCACACCCAAGCCAAACTTTCTTCACATAAACAAAATCAATTTCTATTATTTTCAAGTCCTAAATAATTCATTGTAACAAAATTAATACCATTAATAAAGCGCATACAAACCCATATAGAAGACAGATACACCAGTCATATGTGGGGGAAGCATAAGAAACGTTCATTCAACTTTAGCACCCAACCACCTTCTAATAATCAATAATACTATAGAAGGAATCAATAATCGAGCACTTAAAGCTTTTAAACGAGACAAATTAAGATGGGGTACACCATCCAATATAGGTAGCCCTTAATTACCAAACCCACCTATTTAATAAATAGGCATCAAAAAGAAACAAATAATTATTATACCATGATTATTCAGCAAGCCCTACAGCAATAGGATGAAATGACTTTAAAATAAGGCTTCACAAATTTTATTCGAATCATTTCACCAAACCATTAGCCTATAAAGCTAGCTCATATACATTTTAATGTATAAATTATGCCTATACGCCTACGATCTTGTAGCGGATTGCTACTTTAGTAAAGCCTGACCGACTAAGAAATCTCTATGGCAGATTCTCCAACATCTAGCTAGACTCCCAGAACCAGCTAAGCTATAGCCCAGCTATGAAGGAAACAGACGTGCAGCACGGAGCACGTTTATTCAGCAAGCATATTGCGGATAAAGTGTACACGCAAGAAGCTTAATCATGATCAGGATGGCGGATTAGGTTAAACAAACAGAGGTTAATGATTTTTCACTGTTTGTACGGTCGCACCTCCTAATCATGGCGTGCAGGCATGCGATGACGTGTCCTACAATACTCCTACCCTAGAGCGTTTGTAGGGAGCTGAAAGGTAAGGGAAACCGCTCGATAATTAGTTAATGTACAAATTCAACTAGTTGAGAGGAGAAGGTAGATTTTCGGCCTTAGAGTAACAGGTTTCTGGGTAGAGGTGGGACAGGTGGTGGAACTGCTGAGACGGGATTGTTGGAATTGGAGGCAGTAGGATTGTGGACTTCGTGTATGCTTGTGGACCTTGCCAGCTGAGCGAGTGAGGCAGTATTTGGTCCACTGACAAGCGCCCAGTTGGATGTTCCTCCATATACAATGATCGGTATTCAACGTTCTTGTTGTAAGGGTAGGCTTTCGAAGAGTAACGTACTCCGGCTGTTATTTCCATTGGGTACAAGGACGAGGTTCTTGAGTCTCGTAGAGATATACATTCGAAACACGACGTGCTCCGGTTGTTGACTGTTTCCAAGGGCATTCTGTGGGGGTCATAGCCAGTGGAAGGAGAGATTTTGGGTGCCGTTGAGGTGCTGATCGTTCGTGGGAAGGAACCATCAGATGAGGAGAGCGATGTGAAGAACAATCGCGTCGCCGATGAGAGATGGAGTCTCTGTTGAGCGGAAGTCAGGATCTGACTTGTCGTGAGAAACGGCAGCGGACGTAAGGTGATAATCATTCGAGCGGGAAGAGAGGTGATCATTCGAGCAGAAAGGGATCACCGAGTGAATTGAGGGAAGAGGAGGGAAAATCCCGATGCCAGTAAGAGATTGGTGGTGACCCTGAAGTGATTGAAGCCTGACTCTTCGCTCAGCCGCAGTACAACCTCTCATTGGTGTCACGATAACACTTCTTTCGATCAGTCAATCTCTCTCGAACAGTCAACACCCATTCGACTCTACTGTCCTCTCTTGCTTACTTCATAATGCTTGAAGATACTGCACCAGCCCTTACGCATGCTACCCCAAACTTTGATCCCGCACATCCAGACCTTTTCTTTGACCGACTAGAAACTATATTCCTACTAAGAGGAGTTACCAACACGGTGACCTGGTTCTATTGTGCCATTAGCGCCCTCCCGGACACTATCAGGATTCAATTCAAGGAGCAAACATCCACGCCGCCGGATAGCAAATCTTATGAACGACTCAAACAGGCGGTCATGAAGCGTTTTTCCATAGCTCCCGAGAAACGACTACAACTTCTTTTTTCGTACAATGAACTCGGAGACCGTTCGCCATCCGAATTACTAAGCCACATGCGATCCTTAGCTTGTGGTTTGGAAATGACGGATCAAGTCCTAAAGGGGTTTTGGTTGAGGTGCCTACCTGCCGGACTGGTTAAGTCGATATTGACGTACCCATACCAGGACGATCTGGATAAGATAGCAGAGATGGCCGATATACTCCATAATCAACAAGATAGGCCAGGTGTTAACGCCGTCAAAACTCCGACTGCCCATGACGCACTCGCACAACGAGTCGATGAACTCACGGAGCAGTTTAAGGAATGGGAGACACTCATGACAGTCCCACCTCCACGCCCCCAACAGAAGGCGCCCTGTCTCACCTAGAAGACGTCGGAGTCCATCAGTGCACGACGACATGGTTTGCTATTATCACCGAACTTACGGAGACAGAGTCAGGAAATGTAGGCCTGGGTGTTTATATGAGAAGATCAAGGCCCGCAGCCCGTCGGGAAAACATCACGCCCATGCAGTAAAGGCGACGACTGACCCTGGCCATTCCCGCAGTCGCCTATTGTATGTGAGTGACGGGAATTCTAAGCTTAGATTCCTGGTTGACACCGGCTCCGAAGTCAGCGTTATCCCTCGTTTTACAGAAAAACGCTGCCTGCAAGCAACTGGAAGTTCCCTCTTAGCGCCCAACAATCCCATTATCCCCACCTACGGTCAGAAGCTCCTCAACCTTGATTTGGGACTTCGCCGGGAATTCCCCTTCGTTGTCCTCATCGCTGACGTCCGCAAACCTATTAACGGTGCTGATTTTCTCTCCAAGTTCCGATTACTCGTCAACCTCAGGGACAGCACCTTACAGGATGACGTCACCTCCCTTGAAGTTGCTTGCCCTACACGGAGCCTAAATACTAACGGGTTAAATAGCCTTCTACCCCCCCCCCCCCCCAATACATTTTCAAGTATTCTATTCGAATTTCCAACGATCTTCCGCACGCAAACTGAGATTGTGGAGCCCCAGCATGAAGTACTTAAGTCTCGAAGAGATGGACATTCGAAACGCAACGTGCTCCGGTTGTTGACTGTTTCCAAGGGCATTCTGTGGGAGTCATAGCTAGTGAAAGGGGAGAGTCGGGGTGCCGTTGAAGTGCTGATCGTTCGTGGGAAGGAACCATCAGATGAGGAGAGCGATGTGAAGAACAATCGCGTCGCCGATGAGAGATGGAGTCTCAATTGAGCGGAAGTCAGGATCTGACTTGTCGTGAGAAACGGCAGCGGACGTAAGGTGATAATCATTCGTGCGGGAAGAGATCATCGAGTGAATTGAGGCACGAGGAAAGAAAATCCCAATGCCAATGAGAGATTGGTTCTCTGCTGAGCGATTATAGTCAGGCATTGGAAATCACGTCAGGGTCACCAATTTGTGGCGGATTGCTACTTTATTAAAGCCTGACGGACTCAGAAAT